GGCAGCCCCCTGCCCGCGCCGGCGCCGCAGAGACCCCGCTTGCGGCTTCCCCCAGAGATTTACCCAAGTAGTTTCATTCCCTGGAAAGCATCTCCCTAGTTTGCTTTGACTTAAATTGAAAACTAAAACAAAAAAAGAGAGAGCGACGTTGGCTGTGTTCCCTGTGAAATTGCATCTCGCTTCAGGATCTCCGCTAGGTGGAACGATCCTAGGGGATAGCGCAAAAGTTTTGGAAATGTCACTTAAATTTTCAGTTTCCCCGTATGAATAAGCTGGTTTTAGTTCGGTGTGTCAATGCCTTCGCCTTTCTCAGCCGTGCACGCTGCGCTCGCGAATCCCGCGCGCCTTTGCCCGACGTCTCCGTTTCTCTGTTAGGTTCATCCCCGCGTTTCCAGTTCCAGCCTGGTCCCAAAAGTGGTCTGCACCTATCTGGGGTTCGGGAGGGGAAGGGGCTCATCTTGCAGATATTTATATTGTATAGAGCAGCTTATTTCTACAAGAAAAACATTTTTAAACTCCACAAAGTATACAGTAGTTTCAGTTCCGGTTTTTGTGACCTTTTTCAGGGATCATTTCAGTGCATTTCTGTATAAAATAAAAATTTAAGGAAAAAAGGATTTTGAAGTATAAAAAAATGCATCTTCTGTACATAGGCAAACTCAAGAATCTTCTCTTCAAACACTGTTTCTTGTAGAAACATGTTGAAATTTTTTTTGCTGATTTCTTTGTACTTCAAGAGCATGTAAATAATTTATTAAAAGTGACTATTGTAATTTGGAGTTCTTTTTAAACAGATTCCAGCTCCAACTCGTGTCAAGAAGATGGGGAGGAAGGAAGGACTAAGTATAGCAAAGGAGCTGGTGGCATTTACAGCTTGTGTCAAGCTTTGTATAATGTAAATTCTGTATAAATATGTTTTTTTTGTCAAATAAATAGATGAAATTAGAAGCATTAAGAAACTGAAGACAAAATTGCCAAGTCAGGCTTCTTTTTTTTTTTCTCCCCCCCTCAGTCTGAAACCTAATGTGCAAAATCTATTTATTTCAAGCGAGGAAATGTGTATAGTCTAATAGACAACCTAAAATGTATTTAAGCAAGTCTGCAACTGGATTTTTTCAATTTAATATTTTTGTTTTGTTTTTACAAATTTCCTCCTTAATTGCCACTGTAGTATTTGTCCAAGTGAAAAGAAACACATTATAAAGGACACTCTAAAATGAATGGGCAGTTTTAAAAGCAAAATCAAAGAACACCCTGCTCCCGATCCGTGCAGTTTCCCGGTTCTGTAAACAGGTTGTTTTAATTCACAGTGCGAAAATAAAGGGCCTCCTTTAAAAGGAGGCAGGTCAAATGGTTTGCAATGAATGAAAAATTATTTTTTTTAAGTTCCTTGAAAAAAAAAAATCTCTGCTTTGAAGATTTAGGATTTCTGCTTTTTCTTTTGTTAAGCAAATTTATAAATTTAGGGATGTTTTGTGCATATAGAATCTGTCACCAGTATGTATCTTGTTTTGAAGAAAGTGTTTTTGTTGTGGATGTGTCATGCTGTATATATTTGTTCATATTTTTGTGAATTGAATACTATGTACCATTGTATTATAGTAACTTTTATAAAGCAAACCATAAATATACTGACTTTTCTTACAGAAAAATGAAGTTGTGCTTAATGTATTGCCAAGGCTGCTTTTGGCTCTCAGACCCGTGCTAGGAACCAAGAGAGCTCAAGGAACCAGATCCAGAAAAACAGTCCCAAGAACTGGTTTTACAAGAAGTTTACTGAAAACGTTGATCCTGGTGTGCAGGCAATGACTTTTAAACAACATCAGACAAATATTGCGTGGAGGAAGTACACGAGCAGTTTAAGTTTATAAACGTAGCAAAGAAAACTACCTTAGTATTGAAATCCTTGCAAGTTTTAAGAGCAGCCCCTCGCGGGCCAGGCTGCCTGGGCTGTCTCACCGCAGCCGTAGGAGGGAACCGGAGCCCCGGCGCGAGTCCCGTGCCGGAGCAGCAGCAGCTTGTGGAGAGCCTCTCACTGTGTGTGCGTAGGTGAAAATTGCCTGTTAAAATATGGGAAGCGGGGGTAAGTACTTTGTCCCCGATTCCTGGGCAGAGATCTCAGCCTTGATCCACGCTCCCCAGTTCTGGCTGTCGCAGAGCAGGCTGACCCCAGTGGCGGCACTGCCTGGGGAGGCGAGAGAGTCACTTGCTTCTCCAGCCTCGCTGCAGCCCGTCTCCCTTGGTATTTCTGCCTTTCGTGTCTTTTTTTGACCTTAGGTAGGTGGAAACCCTTAACCTGCCAGTGTGGGTGCTGCCTGGTGGGGTAGGAGGGTGCCTGCTCCCTCCATCACCCCGCTGGACTGGGCTCGGTGCTGCAGGGGCCGTGACGACCTTTGCATTCTCCTCCGATGGGACGTGGCTGGGGTCGGGGCTTGCCTTGGGATAACAGCTTGCTTCAGCCTTTTGTGGCTGGTTGAGATGATGCTGTAAGGTTGTCAGGAGGCCAAAGGCCTTTTAGTTTTTTTAAATCACTTTATCACTTTTTTTGAAATCACTTTTGATTTAAATCTGAAATGAATTCTGTTATCTGCAGTTTACAGGAGAGGGAAATGGGGAAGCCAACTGAGGCTTGACGCTCATCTCTTGCTGAGCTCAAGGCAGCCGTCTGCCTCCCCGTGCTGGTTTGTAATGGGGTGGCGGTGCTTAAAGTGGCTTCTCCCAGTTTAGAGAGGCCTAAGGCAGAGGGTAGTGGAGCAGCTGATAAAGAGAAAACTGAACCCCTGGGAGGGTCTTTGCTGTAGAGGGTTTCACAAGGTGAGAGGCGATTCCCAGGTCACTTCTCAACTATGCCTGCTCTTACAGCTGACTGCAGTGGCCAGAAAATATTTAGAAATGGGACGGGAGAAACGAGCAGTCCACATGGTTGTAGAGGCTTTTGCTGGCTCCGTGAGGCATTTCGGAAGCCAACTTGCTTCTGGGGCCCCGGGTCCTCTGGGCTGCTGGAGGAGGCAGCCACCAGGGCCAGGGCTGAGCTACGGGTAAATTACCAGGCTCTGGCGGGATACCCTGGGATTTCACCCTGAAGCAGGGTGAGCTGCATGCTCCGAGGTCACTGTGCAGCGGGGCACAAGCCAAGCTTTGCAGCGCGTTGCTTCCTCGCTCCCCACGCTCAGCCTGGCTCCCCAGGGGATGTTCCTGACGCCAGCAGAGGAAAGGCAAGAGGACGCAAGGGGAGCCCAAACCTCACAGGGGCAGAGAGCGAGGTTAAACCTGGAGGATGGCTGGGGCCAGGGCCAGGTTTCCACCACCACTGGGTCCCTACACCTGGTCTCCAACCTCAGGCTTCTTCCACCAGATGCCCAAGTTGGGTGGCCACAGCTCCTCTCCTGCAGTGGCCCCATCCCTGTGAGGCTCTGCTGCCCAGGTTGGGCACAAGGGCTCCACCGCAGCAGGGTGCTGGTGGGACTCGGGTCTGAGGAGCATCTCCTGAGCTTCAGGCTTGGGCCTGGGAACAAGGGCTTTGGCTGATCCAGGTTTTGAGCAGCTTTGGTGCTCCTCACCAGGGACAGCGGTGAGGAGTGGTGAGTGGGCAGGGGCTTTGGAGGGCAGAGCTGCAGCATCCAGGAGACACAGGGCACCAGCAACCCTGCAAAGTTCTCCAGGAGTTGTGAACGAGCTCTGCAGACTTCTCAGGGAGGATTTGCAGTCTTTGGTCCCTCTTGGCCTTGTCTGTGTCCATGCATTTGGCAATTGGGCTCCACAGATACTTTTAGAAGGTCTGGCTGGGCTGGACTAGGCTGTTGCTGCTCTGGCCAGGGGTGGCTCTGGTACCAGGTGAACGTGGTGGAGCTGGGCTGGCCCCATCTGCAGAAGGTACAAGCCACTCTTGTGAATGTGGAGCTCCGCAGGAGAGCTGCTGTGCTGCCTCTGGCAGCTGGAAAGGCACCTTGGTTGCTCCAGTTGCCGCCTCTGCTCCAGTGTCAGCTCCTGCTGGAGCCACCTCAGCGGCACCAAGGCTGTTGTTCAACATGCTGTAGCCTCAGTTCCGCCCCGTGTCCCTACAGCCACGGAGGAAAATGCGGTACAGGGTGTTCAGGCCTGCCAGCATTAACTTACTAGGCACGTGAGCTGTGACAGCAACGGGCTTTATTGTGTCAGTGGAGAAAGTCCCCTTGGGAAGGCCTGGGACAGTGCCCCGAGGGGAGTTTTCCCATGCAGCCAGGATCTGAGCCAGGCAATCACAGCAAATTCCAGCAATTACTTCTCTAAGTCTAAATGAAATACTGGAGAAGCCTCAACTGTTCATCACTTCCGGAATTTAAAGGTATTAGAGCAAGGCTACGTTACGTTGAAAGGAAGGCTGAAATACATAAATTAGATTAAATCTAATTCCAGGAATGTTGTAACTACCCTAAAAACAAGTGTTTAATCATAAGAAATTCAAACTCAAGATGGAATATAAAACTAATTTTAAAAGATCTTGTAAAACGAGATGCACAGAGAGGCAAACCCCATAATGCTTTCCTCTCTCGCTTTCCCATTTCAGCTTCCCGCATAGTTAAAATTAAGAGAAACTGTGGATAGACTAAAATTAAGTGCTCCAGGTTGTTTCTTCTGTCTTCCTCCATAACTGAATGTCTTCTATGATGGAAGCCTTAAGTCTGCCCTATGTTAAGAATTCAGTACTTGGATTAGGTTAAATTGGCAGGTTTGACATTTCCCATTTTCTCTCTCCCATGAAGTCGCCAGAGGGCAGCGTCTGGGCTGGGTCCGGATAGGCTTGAGTCCTTTTACATTTCCAACTTGGCAGTGACTTTCCTGGGTTCATGACACAGTTGTGGGCTGTTTACCAAAACATGGGCCGTTTCCTGGTTTTGTTTGTTAATGAGCTTGCTAAGGGTGGGGCTGCGTTACCGCCGGTGGCTGCCGCTCGCCCAGCCCTGTGCTCTAGAGGAGGTTGGTCTCCCCACTGGGATTCAGGACAGTCAGGTTTCCTCTGGCATCTTGGTCAAATTCTATAGCCTCAAAGAGAGACTTGAAGTTCCCAGCGCCGAACCCCTGCAGAGACAGACCGTTACAGACCTTGCGGACAAGGCGACGGACTTGTTAAATCTAAAGGGGCTGTAGAAGAACAGCAACAGGGGTTGTCTGGGTGATGGCACTTGAAGCCACTGAGGCTGTGACTCGAAGCCCAGATCATCTTATCTTTAACAGTGAAATCCTCAAACAAACCTGGTGGTTATGCCGCTGGATGACCTCCAGGAGCGTGGGTCTATCTTGAACTGGTTTAGTGAAGATTTGGAGCAAGTATCCCTTCTCGTCAAAATCCACCAGGATTTTCAGTTCCTGGAGAAAAGTAATAAAAAGCTAGCTGGAAGAACCACTGAGGAGCAAAGGGATCCCCCGGCATCCCTCATCCCTGTGAAATGCTTCCCATGATACAGCCCGGGGAGAGCTGGTCCACTGCAGATGCCAGGCTCAAAGCTTTTCTCTTCTGTGCCTGACTTGACCGGACTCACCGCTAGCTTATCGATGTTCTCCTTCACTTTGATTTTGGCAGTTTTCAGCCTCTCTCGCAGCATCTGATAGTAGCTGGATGGCACATCCATGAACTGCATGCCCCGCTGCTTCAGGTTGGTGATCTGTAACGCAGGGGCAGACCCGAGGGTCAGGCCTGGGGCTCGCTTTGATTTGGGCGTGAGGAGCTCCGGGCCAGAGACTCCAGGGCACCCAGGGGTGCGCCCTGCCTGTGCTGTCCTCACCCAGAGGGGCTTCCCCTACTCAGGGCCCCTCTGTGTGCAGCCAGCCTGTCTGTGCCCGCAGGCAGGCTGCGGGGAACGGTGCTGGAGGATGGCCCAGGACCCACGGCAACCACTGCATGAAGACTTGCCAGCCCCCTAACCCCTCCTGAGGCTGCTCGCCCTGCGATCTGATGAAGGAGCCCAAAGTCAAATGCTCAAAAGCAGCTGGGCTAAATCCACTGCGTCACACTCACTGCCGTGATGATGTCGGAGGTGTTCAGCGCAATGTGCTGGACTCCCGCCCCGCCGTAGTAGTCGATGTATTCCTACAAGAAAAAAGTCCATGCTGTTAGCAGTATCGCAGCTCCTACAGCTGAATCTGGGCTTAAAAACTTTAAAAGCAAAATCAGCTCAGAGACACCATGCAGTGAAAAAGATTTTGTTTGTGAAATGCAGGACAAACTGGCTCTGTGCCCTGTGGGAATGCAAGTGGCTCCCCCAGGGTTTGACAGCCCTTTGCAGACCAAGCAGAGAAGGGGCTGCTTTCCAGCAAGCCACCGTCAGCACTGCAAGCCTGTGGCAGCTCCCAAGCCCTCTTGATTCGCGTCCTTTGGCTCCGCAGGGCCCTTTGTCCTTTTTGTTCATCAAAGACGCTAGTCGACGGTAGCCTGATGCATCAACTGCCAGCGTTAGCCCACGTGTGCTCACCTGAATCTGGGATTTCTTCTTGCCAACAGCTGGCTCGTTTATGGGCATCTTTATGGTCTCTTCATAGTTGGTGACCACGATGGAGCGCAGGGCACTGAATTTGGTGTGCAACTGCTTGTCATCCACAGACCAGAAACGATGGAACAGCAGGTTCTTCTGGTACCTGCCCCAGGCCACAAAGGGCATGTTTAAATTCCACAGTGTCACAGGACTAGCCCCACATTAATGACCCTCATCTGGCTTAATTGGCCCTCAGTCATGAATGTCTGAGACGCTGGAGACCAGCCCAACAGTGCCACTGCTGCGTCGCACCTCCCGCCAGTCCTCCCCAGTCCTACCAGTCTGCCACTGGGACCATCTGGAGATCTGGCTGGTTCCCCACGACATGGTCGACGAAGTTCAGCTTGGCGCTTGGTCTGCACAAGGAAATCAAGGCCAGTTCTCAGCCGGGCTAAGGGGCACTTGACTGCACAAAGGAGGGGGCAGGTCCAACTAGGCTCTTATGTGGGATTTCTCACCCAACACCCACCTCCCACCCAGGGAAAAGTACTCAGATCCCTGGGGAGCCCCTCAGGGTAACATGTGGCTATGAACATGAGTGGGCATCTTGACCATGTAAGATAAGGCCAGAGGGGCTGCAGTGGGGGGGGCCTTTACTGAGCTGAACCATGAACCTGGGGACCCAGGGAACTGGTGGAGAAGGTCAAATCCAGCCTCCTTGCATGACAACGTGGGCCATCTCCAGTCCTGTCTCAGCTGGAGCCACTGGTGTGTGGTGGGAAGAGGAAGGGCCAGGCCCTCTGCGAAGTACTCACAGCTTCGGCAGCAGGGGATCCTTGAAGAGGGGCGCGTGATAGCCAGGTAGGAAGAGCCCCTTGTAGTTGAGTTTTTCTATCAAGGTGTGAGTCGTGTCGCCATACTGGGAGAGGGGAGAAAAGCCGTCATGTGCAAACCCTGCTCCCTGCAGGGACCTCACGGGGCCCTGAGCGCCGAGGTCCAGCCGTGGCTGCCAAGCCAGACCCGGATGAGGCTCCGGGGGGGGGGGGGGGGGTC